AAAAATAACAGATATAAAAATATATAAAAATAAATTAAATAAAAAAATAGATTAAATAGAAAAAGATATAATATTAAGAAAATATATAAAAGATCGTAATATGGAAAAATATTTGAATACATTTTGATAAGGTAATACCGACTACACAAGTTGTTCATTCTTTCCCACTTCTTCTTTGTATAAGATGGCAGCACGTATCTGTCAATAAAGCCAGTGTCAAATAGCGTATCAATATGGCTACAGCTGATTCCGAGCGAAAAAAGCTCCCGAACGCAGCCCAAATCTTGTGTACCTGCAAATGTGATTCTATTAGTTATATCGAGGTTAAGAAATTAAATTATATGGTGATAGGGATATTCGTAAACAGCAATTATTGATCACATTCTCTAACTGGGAGTATACTTCTGTATTCCGTAAATTATTGTGCTGCATCTAAAAGAAATCCGGAGTACACAGAATTCATCAAAACATATCCGCAATGACTGATACAGAGAAGCTCTTTGCTTGTTCCACATCAGGCTGCAATATGGTAAGTGACAACTTTCTTGCGCTGAAAAAAAAAAAGAGTTATTTTAAAACTGGTTAAGAGAACTATTATAAGTATAAGAAATAACAGAACTTTATTCTTTTTATTTCTCATTTACAGAGTTTTACGAATGAGGATCAATTAACAATGCACAAAAAAAAGCATGACATGATGCTTAATCTTGGTAATAATCCCAAAAGCGCTGGATTTGTTGGTAAGATATATTTGACAACTTGAGATTTATGCATATTATATTAAAAATAGATGTATTGAAAGATTAATTTACGATGTAGCAGATCAAACTCCAACGCCAACAAGATTTTTCAAAAATTGTGAGGAAGTTGGTTTATTTCAAGATCTTCAAGTCAATCCTTTCGAAGAAACATTTCGAAGAGCTGTTGAGACTGGAAATACAGGCACACTTACAGTTCCAGAGGTACAACAAGAAATATACATTTATCAAATATAATTCATATAGATTTTATAAAAATAACTTACAATACTCTTTTTTTATAGAAAAAAACCTATACCAGAAATATGTATATGACAGAATCATTTTTTGCAGGTTGGAATTGCAGATGATACACTCCATACTCCACATATTTTTCCTTATATATCAGATGTATTACCTGCGAGTAGTCAAATCCTTTCTGAAGACCACGTTGAAGATTGCTCTTCAACTGTGTCTCTTATCGAAAAAACAGAGGAGAGTAATACTATAAAATCGAACGAATGTAACAGTATTAAAATAAGTACAAATGAGACGCAGGAATTGACGAAAGACGCAAATATTACGTCTGCGAAAAATAGTATTCTCGCACCAAACATCATTGTCTCAGATACAAATACACCTGTAGCGTCTAAGCTTTCGCCGACACAACTTTCATCGCATCTGTAAGAATTTTTTTTTCTTATAAAATTTTCACACATTTTATTACAAGTAACAGAAAATAAGAGAAATTAAATTTTTATATATTTTATGAGTTAATTATATATCTTTTTTAATCTAAAAATATTTAAAATTATTACGATAGCATTTTCCATAATTAACAAATCTAGGATTCTTTTGCGAAGGTCCATCAATGGCGAGGAGGTACAACTGCTATTAAAAACGGCGGATGGTAAATTGATGCAACTATCTGCGACAACAGTGTCCGAGTCTTCCAATGTGGCCAACGTTAGCGCCAAACAGCAAACCGTCGTTATAAAAACCGAACCGGCTCTGCGATGCATAGTAAAATCGGAATCCAAGAAAACTATGATTTCTAGATTATCCTTGGCGAAAATGGTAACTTATATTAAGTTGTACCACAATATAATTCGCATTTCAAGATGAATCTCTTAGAAATTGCATTACAGAAGCTGAAACAAACCTTATCTAAGAACGCACAGAATCAAAAACCGACAGAAGAAAACACAAAAATGGGCGCGACCGCTATATCAAAAAAAGAAAATGTCAAGAAAACAAACGATCAGGTTAAGAAGAAAGATATTCTCGAGCGCAATCGTGCCAGTTCTATGCGTGCGCGGGCTAAAAGAAAGGCGTGGATTCAAGACCTCCAGAGAACAGTCACTAACGTGAACGAGGCGAATGCAGCTTTGCAAATGGAAGTGAAGGCTCTACGCTCGGAAGTGGCGAAGCTGAAGACTATTTTGCTAGCGCACAAAGATTGTCCGATTACGAAAGCGATGCAGAAAGGCAAGTTGTTAATGTATTACTTGGTTTTCTAAAAATTGTCACATCGATAATTTAACATAATTTTGCATGTTCCTTTTTAAAATATTCTATTCTTATCCATGATGTATATGTATAAAGAGATAGCAAGAAAATTTATTTCATTAAATCTAATTTTAAGTAATAATGTAATAATTAAGTAAATAATTCAATTAATCTTAATTTCAATTAATTTTGATAATCAGGAAACGGGATAGTTCTTGGATCCAAAATAATATCAGTTAATAATCCGGAGGTATTGACGATGCCGATATCGGCCAATAGTATTCCCGTAAAACGATCAGGCTCTTACACGGAAACTCCGAACATGCCGGTGAAGAAATCTGCTGTGTCAATAACAAAGAATCCAGTGATCTTCCCGAAAGTGGATTGTGGCACCGCAAATCTCGCACTTCCGAACGCGATCATAAAAGGTTTGCCGGCATTGAAGATCGTGGGGGTTAATCAGTTTTTGCCGGAGAAGCCCGAAGAAACGAAGCAAATACTTATCGTGCAAAATCAGCCGAGGAAATTGTGCGAGGCTAGGCAGGTCATTCAGATTAATCCGAATTACGAGATGGAAAACGCGGCGTCTAAAAGTACGGGAACGTAACTAATCGCTCTCGAAAACGTTCGTGCGTTGGTAATTGACGAAACTCTTTGCGGTTAGCGAATGACTAGAGACTATCATTTAGTCGAATGAATCGATTCTATGAATTATACCATCACTGAGGGTAAAGTGACGTTCATGAAAATTTTTATTTTACACGCTTTTGACAAGTTTTTTTTACTTCTAAAACAAGTCTATATAAGTTTTATCAGATTTTAACTGTTAAATTATGTGTTCGACAAATAATTATTTAATGTAAAACATAGACTGATGTAACAGATTTGTCCTTAATATGTATATAGAGGAATGTGAAGTGATAGGAGTTACCAGATTTTTGTATTATTTATTGTATTTATAATAAAACAGTTTTTTATTTAGAATTATCATTCATTTTATTCTCATCCTGATAAATCCCTTCACACTGTATATTTATAAAAATATTTAAAATTATTTTAATTATCAAATACATACAGACACATACATATATATATAGATAGATAGATTAGATTCTAAGATACATATAAAACTAAATTAATAAATAATCTTTTTTTATTGATTAATCATATATAAATCTGATTCTGTTCTGAAAAATATATTGTTTTATTCTTGATTATAAATGTTCGTCAATCTAAAAATTTAAAAATATATGGGAAATTAATAATTAATAATAACTTATTAAATAACGAATTGTCATAATAAATATTAGTCCGCGGCGATGTTGCTTTCCCCACGTGCTTTTGGTGTCTGTGAAGTTGGCACGACGTTTTACGAATTTAAAAAAAAAAAACTAAGAGTTCTAATAGCACTTTTCATAGTTCTATAGTTCCTGATAAAAATTAAAAAGAGTTCCGCATTCCTTATATTAAAAAATCGAAATTGAAAAAATGTCGTGCTAACTTCGCGAATCTAGCACGACAATCCTCCCCTCTAAAGTACTAAAACGCGTTGAATATCATCATTTTTGGCAAGAGTTCCGGATAGTTCTGTTCAAGTTCAGCACATATATGCAATTTCAGATCGATATTTCACCAATTAATAATTTTTAATCAATTTTTAATATCCAGCACGACATTTGGTGAAAATATGTCGTGCTGATGATCTTCTGTGCAGTTCTAATGGTAGTTTTCGACAGTTCTATAAGAGTTCTATGCTTTAGAAACACTTTTACAGAAAGTTCCGACAATTATTACGTCCAGTACGACATATTTTAACTAAATGTCGTGCTGGACGAAATTATCAAAAATTGTTCAAAAAATAATAACCAGTCGGAACTTTCTGTAAAAGTGTTTCTAAAGCATAGAACTCTTATAGAACTGTCGAAAACTATCGTTAGAACTGCGGAAAATCATTAGCACGACACATTTTCACTAAGTGTCGTGCTGGACGTAATTATCAAAAATTGTTTAAAAAATAATAAACAATTAGAACTCTCTGTAAAAATGTTCCTAAAGGATAGAACTCTTATAGAACTGTCGAAAACTACCGTTAGAACTGCAGAAAATCATCAGCACGACACATTTTCACTAAGTGTCGTGCTGGACGTAATTATCAAAAATTGTTTAAAAAATAATAAACAATCAGAACTCTCTGTAAAAATGTTCCTAAAGGATAGAACTCTTATAGAACTGTCGAAAACTACCATTAGAACTGCACAGAAGATCATCAGCACGACATATTTTCACCAAATGTCGTGCTGGATATTAAAAATTGATTAAAAATTATTAATTGGTGGAAAATCGATCTGAAATTGTATATATGTGCTGAACTTGAACAGAACTATCCGGAACTCTTGCCAAAAATGATGATATTCAACGCGTTTTAGTACTTTAGAGGGGAGGGTGTCGTGCTAGATTCGCGAAGTTAGCACGACATTTTTTCAATTTCGATTTTTTAATATAAGGAATGCGGAACTCTTTTTAATTTTTATCAGGAACTATAGAACTATGAAAAGTGCTATTAGAACTCTTAGTTTTTTTTTGAAATTCGTAAAACGTCGTGCCAACTTCACAGACACTAAAAATGCAATGTACCAAAAATAGTATATGAGACAATAGCGAATGCCCGCTAACAATAAGCGATGAAAATAAAATCAAAAACTTTCAAAAGTGTGTACAATACCGTGAAACAGAATCATAAAGCTTTGGAATAAAAAAAAAAAAAGAGTATTTGAAATATCTTTTATAGACAGAGTAAAAATATGATAAAATTGTTTACACATCTCTCATGCAATAAATTGAAATAAGTCACTCCTATATATCATTTATGTATATGTATGTACATAAACGATTTTCATATGTAAAAATATATCTAATTAACATATATTTACATATGCTATATATATATGTAGCAATTTCGAAACACACAGATGTTATGTTTCCTCTCCCTCCTTTTTTTCCCTAAATAATAAAGTAATTTCTAAATTAGGATATATAATATTGCTTCAAAACTAAAGTTAGAACGTATAATATTGCAAACTTCAACTTAGAAGAAATACAAAACTTCCTTCGAATTGCTACATTATGTAATTTCTATTCTCTTATGTCAACACACGCGAGTTTTTCTAGACTTTTTTACTAACAACGTCAATGTTATCACGCGGCAGTTTACATATCGACACGTGTGATCTACACTACTTCGTTCTTTTCCCATGTTTTTAGAACGTAACAAGGTTGTATACGATCTCGAAAAAAAAATTTATATATAAATCGGGAAATATTTAGAATAGAAAAAATATATTTGAACGGTGCTGAACAGAGTTTCTGAATCTTTCATAAATATTCTGCATCATCGATCTGGCATTTATCCCGCAGTAACGCGTTACAAAAGCACGTGTTAAGCGTAAAATAAACAAATGTACCAGCACGTACTCGCATTCTCCTCTCTATTCAGTGCTAAATATGAATATTATAGTCCGTCCAAGATAACAAACGCCGAATTTGTATATCGTTATACCAAACAAAGTATAACGTCAGAAGAGAACAGGCGTCGTTTTAACGTTAAACGCGAAGCCCGTGAAACGTTCTTGGAAGATTTCGGTGTTTATTTTCCGTTCTCTTCCATAACTTTAATGAAGAATTATACGCGATAAGATAAGCCGAGTACGTGTGTTTCCGATATTAAAATAGAGAACCGTTTATCATTTCGCTCGAGAGCCTACGAAGCGGGTCGAAAAACCGCTATCGCGGGGAGAATTTTAACCGCACGCGGGAAGCTCCGGCTCTTTGGAACCCGCTACCGCGATCGTCATAATTGTCGAACCGCTTATCGCGAGCGCCAAATGTATCGCGAACATTCTCCCCCGATCTCTCTCTCGGTCCAAGGATCGAAAATGTGACACGCACGCGGGAATATTCCTCGCAGAAATTTCCGCGTCTCTCGGCTCTCGTCCAATCACGATGTTCGCGGGGAGAGCGCGTCTCCCGCTCTTTCGCGCGATCCAACGAGAGAGACGACGTAGTACGAGAAGCGAGACGGAAAGACGGATAGAAAAAGATGGAGCGTACGGGAACGACGAGAAGAAAAAAAAAAAACAGGAGGGAAGGACGGGAAAGATTTTTCTCTTACCTGCGACTCGCGGCCGTGTCCAGCATGGTAATCCAGTCCTGCGCGATTGGATGGTGCCGGGCTATCTCAACATCCCCCCGCGAGAAGATTCCTCGAACGATCGAATCGCGAAGTGAGTCGGAGAACTTTCCACCGGGACGGATGCTGGCTTCACACTGTTTCCCCCGGCTTCGCGACGGGGGATATGATATATCCCGGCGAAAAATCGCACGATGAGACTTTATATGAGAATGGCTCTGATACCGCGCGCGGCGGTAAAACGGAGAGAGAGCGACGTAGGAGACGGAAAACGAGATCACTCCACTAACGATAAATAAGCTGTTACAATCCTAGGGCGAATGCGCGAACGCGCATTCGAGATCGAGAACGCGGAAGGACGCCCGTAGCGCGACGCACCACTACGCGTAGAGAGAGAGAGAGAGAGAGAGAGAGAGAGAGAGAGAGACAGACAGGAGAAGCGCGCGCGCGCATCCGCTTCTCTCCTTTTCCGCTTTCCGGGACTTTCGAAACTCTGCGAGTGAGATAGAGAGACACTTATTAGTTTATATATAAATCGGGAAATATTTAGAATAGAAAAAATATATTTGAACGGTGCTGAACAGAGTTTCTGAATCTTTCATAAATATTCTGCATCATCGATCTGGCATTTATCCCGCAGTAACGCGTTACAAAAGCACGTGTTAAGCGTAAAATAAACAAATGTACCAGCACGTACTCGCATTCTCCTCTCTATTCAGTGCTAAATATGAATATTATAGTCCGTCCAAGATAACAAACGCCGAATTTGTATATCGTTATACCAAACAAAGTATAACGTCAGAAGAGAACAGGCGTCGTTTTAACGTTAAACGCGAAGCCCGTGAAACGTTCTTGGAAGATTTCGGTGTTTATTTTCCGTTCTCTTCCATAACTTTAATGAAGAATTATACGCGATAAGATAAGCCGAGTACGTGTGTTTCCGATATTAAAATAGAGAACCGTTTATCATTTCGCTCGAGAGCCTACGAAGCGGGTCGAAAAACCGCTATCGCGGGGAGAATTTTAACCGCACGCGGGAAGCTCCGGCTCTTTGGAACCCGCTACCGCGATCGTCATAATTGTCGAACCGCTTATCGCGAGCGCCAAATGTATCGCGAACATTCTCCCCCGATCTCTCTCTCGGTCCAAGGATCGAAAATGTGACACGCACGCGGGAATATTCCTCGCAGAAATTTCCGCGTCTCTCGGCTCTCGTCCAATCACGATGTTCGCGGGGAGAGCGCGTCTCCCGCTCTTTCGCGCGATCCAACGAGAGAGACGACGTAGTACGAGAAGCGAGACGGAAAGACGGATAGAAAAAGATGGAGCGTACGGGAACGACGAGAAGAAAAAAAAAAAACAGGAGGGAAGGACGGGAAAGATTTTTCTCTTACCTGCGACTCGCGGCCGTGTCCAGCATGGTAATCCAGTCCTGCGCGATTGGATGGTGCCGGGCTATCTCAACATCCCCCCGCGAGAAGATTCCTCGAACGATCGAATCGCGAAGTGAGTCGGAGAACTTTCCACCGGGACGGATGCTGGCTTCACACTGTTTCCCCCGGCTTCGCGACGGGGGATATGATATATCCCGGCGAAAAATCGCACGATGAGACTTTATATGAGAATGGCTCTGATACCGCGCGCGGCGGTAAAACGGAGAGAGAGCGACGTAGGAGACGGAAAACGAGATCACTCCACTAACGATAAATAAGCTGTTACAATCCTAGGGCGAATGCGCGAACGCGCATTCGAGATCGAGAACGCGGAAGGACGCCCGTAGCGCGACGCACCACTACGCGTAGAGAGAGAGAGAGAGAGAGAGAGAGAGAGAGAGAGAGACAGACAGGAGAAGCGCGCGCGCGCATCCGCTTCTCTCCTTTTCCGCTTTCCGGGACTTTCGAAACTCTGCGAGTGAGATAGAGAGACACTTATTAGGCGAACGACATCGCGATGCGAGCAACACAAAGGGCGAATAAGTCGATCGCGTAAACGTCGATCACAGGCGAGTGAGAGAAGAAGATACTAACTGTCGCTACCTTCTCCGCGTACTCAACTTTGGGCGCGCGATCTCGCAAACGCGACGATTGCTCGTACTCAATCGCCACTCTCGCGCATACGACCGAACGTGAGCAAGGCCCGCAACAAACTGAGCTAACGCACGGCACGGTCCCGGTGGGGCCTAGTGTCGGCACTTGCTGCACAGAGGGCGCCACCGCGGCGCGCAGATCGATCGAGATCGCCGAACGGCGCGGCGTGTGCGCGTCTTCGAAAAATCAACTGTCTCGTTCGCGCGTGATCGATGGCGATCGTTTCCTTCGACGCGGATGATCGTCACGGACGGGGATCTCTCCATTTTCGATTTCCTGGATCTCGGCGGAGGAGAAGGTAAAAGAATTAAGTATTTATAATTATATGGTAAATGAGAAGAGAATGAGAGAGACTCGTTTACGCTATTATGAGCTATTTCGAGCGAAATAGAGAGAGGAAAGGACTGACTGCTTATGTATAAAGCAACTGACGGAAATACTTTTGATATTATATAATCGCGCAGATACCGGTGCGGTATGCCACAGATAATCTTTCTTGTATAATCTCTTATTAAAACATAAAATTTTTTTCTCTAAAAGATAAAATTGTCTTGTTTAATTTTACTTGTAATTATATTTTGCGAGTAGAGAATGAATATAGGCGCGTGAGATTTTACGAGAACATAGTTACTTATTGGAAAATACGCGAACTAAATTGCTAGTGAAATTGGATCGATATTAAATATCGTAACATCATGGTAACATAAAGCGAGTAATGTATGAAAATACCTAGCCATCATGATGTTCCTAGATTTGGCCCTGAAACGATAATATGAGATAATCGCTAATTAACGTTAATATGATTTAAGTGTAATTCTAGAAAATTGCATGACTGATAAAAAAATTAATTATGTGATATTAATCATTATTGGAAATATATAAAAATATGTATATTATATGTAAAAAAAGCATCTCTCAAACACAGTTTCAATTAATTAATACAATCTTGCAGTCTTATATATATGTATAGAGAGTCCTCGTAATATATTTATTAAAAACAATTTTTTTATATTTTAATTAATTTCGGTGATTAGCACAATCGCTTTACATTTATCTGTATTCGGATTTACATACGAATTAAACAAGCTACAGAATCTCATATTAAGAGAAAGGAATTTTATTAAAAATAAAATTTATGTTTTCTATTTAAATATTAAAATTTATTACAATTTGATGTGGAGGCGAGAAAGCTTTATTTATATTACAACTGTCTTCTCTTTCTCTGTATCATATATACCTATAGTAATAACTATACATTTTATCTATATACATACATTAATTTTTTTCGTACGATGTATCGCAGTAATTTTGTTTCTTTATCTCTTTATATATATATATTATCAAATTATCCATATTATCCATATTATCAAAATAATTATTAATACAATACGAAAAATATAAAAAAAAATATATTTTATGCATCTGTTGCATTATTAAGTTGTATTTATCTCATATTAAAAGTCTAATATATTATATTAACGCACGCATTAAAATACATTACATTTCTTTGCTAAAACAACAAATTAAAGACTTAAATTAGCAAATTAAAGAGGAAAAAAAGGTATCGAATAATGCAATAAAAATTCGAAATTTGAATATATTGTGCGAGAAAAATCGCGATTTTTTACGATATGTATATATATGTGTTTTGCGAATAAAATATCACTCAATGGTGAACAATTTATATCATATGCGACTTCTTATGACGACACGCGCGGTACATGAAGCATTTCATCACACGCTCTTGTGCCGTGCGGTCATATCGAGGATATTTTTAGAGACTTCTGCTTATCATTCGCAGCGCGGTTATCATCGTTTTTGCGCTTTTCAGTATTTTTTTATACGTTTCACGAATTTTCTATCTGTATGTTGACTCCCGCCTTTGTTTATCCACGCATTCCAATTTCATGTGTAAACAGAAAATGTTTGAAAAATGATTTCGTTGCTCGCAATATTATACCTACCTACCTACCTCACATTATAATAGCATAGTGATTGTAATTGAAATAAATAAGTATCACATTGGCAGCAAGCATTATGAACAATCGTGTTAAAACAGCGTTTTTTATGCGGATTAGATCAATAACAAAAGAAATAGAATATTTGCAGTATAAAACTACGAAACTTATTTTTCTACAATAATGTTTTAATAACGTGATGATATTTCTCAAAAACGTGGTCTAAATTTATCTGTATTGTTTTTTTTTCTTCTTTACCTCAAGTATTTCGAGGGGACACTTTCCAACAGAGAGGTAAACGCGCAAATGACATCGACCGATCCATAATTTATCAATATAGATCGCAGCACTGATTTTTTTTTTGTACGATGGCATTGACTGCATTGCAACTATTAAAAAATAATAATCAATTTACTATGGTACCGTACGTACATTTAACCACAGTTAGCAACAGTGACGTAGATGGCAACGCGCAGAAACGCCGATTGGCTGCTAACAGCTGCTATCTTATCTTTTTTTCTGTGAGTGTCAACATTCGGCGCTTGTCATATGTATGGTATATACTTGTACTCGTATCGAATATTTCTGCGCGGATCTCTTATACGTCTCTCTCACTTTCTTACGCGATACTGTTAAAGATTTGGATTTTGCGCTCAACGCAGACAAAAATCAAGTCGATGAAACATAGAAATGAAGTATAAAATTTTACAAGTATGTATTAAATAGTGCAAAAATTACTTTTATTGTAATTTATGCAATCAAAATTATGTTATTTTTCAATAATAAAAATAATTAGATTCTTAGTGCGTTGAGAATATAATTTATTATAAAGATATAGATATGAAAATAATGTCGAAATAATTGAATATAACGATACACAATTTTAAAAGTTATTTTATAATTTTAATTGAAATCATCGCGTTTGAGATTCAACGTGGAACGTGATTCGTCCGAAGAAGTCGAGCTTGCTCGCCGGCCAAGCGTATCATGCGGATGGAAATCAGGCTAAATGACAACAATGTCGGTCGTCGTGATCGAACGTGTCGAATCGCGACGACGAGTTTATTTTGAGCCTAAGCGCGCATATCTTATGTAAAGTAACCGCATGTGCGTGGACAACAACTCGTTTTTGTCGCAGGTGCGAGCGAGCGCGTTACTCAGAGATAGAATCGCGCGTCTCGCGTCGTCGTCGCGACGGTTTCTGCGGGAGGAAATTTTTAAATCGCGATATATACGAGACGACACGATCGTCTTTTTTCCAGATTTGTTCTAATAGACTTCTTGTAACGATTCGATCGACCGTAATCTTTGATTTACTAACGAGCGTTCTCTCCGTTCCTCGCGGTAATAAAAACATCGCGGCTAACATCGTCATTCCTGCATGACATTCCTTTTTTTTTGTTTTTTTTTTTATCATTGTATTGTTTCTACGACGGATGAAGATAATTCTGTGTCTATAAATAGGTACGGCCGACAGAAGGAGAATCTAATAAAAGCACGTTCTACAGACCGTATCTCCAGTGTGAAGTCAAAATAACGCGTTCTACCGCAGCAACGATTAAAGTTAATATATATCGTACAGTCCGGTCTATTAGTCATATACATCATATATATAAAAATCTTATAAATATTATTTTTATATTTAAATGATGAAAGTAATTATAATTTCTTTTTCATAATATACATATCGTAGCCAGAATCCGTCGTTTTATAAAACGTCTAGGCATTTTATAAAGTGTGGCCAAATTCTCAAATGGTGGAAAATGAAATATTTTACAATCTGGCTAAGAATTTTAATCTTTTTATGAAATGCTAACAAGCGACTTGTCACATTGTCAAACGCAACGATTTGTACATTGTTTTAAATTCTGGCTGGTACATTTCAGTCTTTTATGAACGGCGCGTTTTTACTGACCTTACTTTATGTTACATTTGATAAAATAGTCATAATAAATGTGTTTTTTAATTTTTTTCGCGCTTATATTTCTTTTATTATTTGTTTTTAAACATTATTTTCAAGAATTTTATTTATGTTACTTTTATGAAATCTTGATTGTAATAAATACAACAAGTGTTTATACAAGCTTTTTGTTATCTAGAAATACACATGATTACTTATTAATATTATAACATAATTACCTATTAATTTTCTATAAATGGCTGTTCTATAAATTGTTACATTTGACAATGTGGCCGATCGCTTGTTAGCGTTTTATAAAAAGAATAAAATTCTTAGCCAGATTATAAAATATTTCATTTTCAAACATGATTTGAGAATGTGGTCGCACTTTATAAAATGCCTAGACGTTTTATAAAACGACGAATTATAAATCTGGCTACGACATATATATAGTGTACAGTGTAATATAATACTACGAGGTTAATAATATAATAAATCTATAATAAAAAGTTTTTTATATGTGCCATTTTATCAAAGTCAGTAGCGTACAAGTTTTTTTGCTAAATTTTTAAATATAATATTCAAATAGAGCGAGTCTTCAATACAACAGAATTAAATGCAAATATAATCAATTTTATATAATAATTACGTTCTACGAATTTTTATTTAGAACAATAAGAAAAATTAACACTTTAAAATTAGTATCGTAAAATCAATTCTAAATTTTGCTGAATAAGCAACGTGATTTCTAATTTGTAATTTTATTCCAAATAATATATTTAACATTTTGGTTCAAATATTGTTGTACTTTGCTATACTTTGATAAACCACAGAGTCGTTCTGTTGACATTCTAATTTTTCATTGACACTGTAAATATAAGTTTTATTACGGTAAATCACGCCATGTAGGAAACTTATCGCGCGCGTGTCGCCTACTCGTACTTTCGTTTACGAGCGTATGCAAGGTTTTGCAACATTGCTAACGACGCTCAGTAACATCGTTTTCAGAAGGGGAGGGGGAAAGATATACCATTTGAAAATTACGGCGCCGCTTGCAACCTGTACAAACAAACGGCTATTACGTACCGTTATACGATAATCGTGCTTGACGTCAAATATTAAATGATTTCGCTGCGTGAATCCGGGCTGTTTAAATTGTTCGGCTTGATTGAATGATGGCCACAGCTCTAAGTTGGCCGACAACCACTTCAACGTAAATAAGACGGTACCCCAGTCTGTATATAAGAATCGCCTCGTTATACAGGGTGTTTGCTTGTTGGAAGCGAGTCGCGTGATGGATATCGCCGAGTTGTCTAACATTTTATATATTGTATCAGGAGTATTACTCTATTAGTTTGTTATTCATGTGTCAATATCGATTACGATCTGTCTTCTCTCAATCAAGATTATCAATTATTCGACCCAAAGTGTATATTTTTCGACGTTTTTTCGAATCTATTATTATTAGTATTTCATTTATTGTCTTGCGTCAGTTAAATTACTTGTTAGACGACGGACGATGATGTATCAAAGTTGAATTGCATTTTTATTCGAAATATTGATTTTAATTCTTCCGATTAAGTTCGATCAAGTGCGAGCTGCAAACGCCTGCGGACAGTAATTCGTGCAATAAATTTAGAAGTCGCTTTTGTATTTGCACGACTCGTTCGCACGTAGGCAAAGGCGGGACATACTGTCGCCGCTTTTGTCGTCACGCGTTCTCGGGATGTAACCAAGCGTGCAAATTGAAGCAAAGACACACTTCTCGTAGCATCTTTTATCGTCAGTATTTTTAATTTTAGATTTCGCGATTAATTTTTCAAATTTAGCACAACCCATTATTTTCATAAGGTTATATATCATCAGATATGAAAACTTTCACCACTACACGTAGCTTGAATAATATTAGATTCAATGCATAGCGAAATATGATTCTTTAATTGCTCCATTTATAACATAGTAAATAAATGGCTTTGCGTTACATCACTTCGATACAAATTCACAGCGTAAATACATAATTTTAATTGAATCTAGATTACAAAAATATCATGTTAATGCATTTATTATTGATACAATATTTTTATTACACTCGACGATTTTTTTAACAAGACATGCTTTAGTTTAGGTATTGTTTATTGTTTAAAAATCGCTATTAAATCGCTATTATAAGTCAAATATCTAAGTGTGATATAGGAACAGATACAGTACGTTGCGCCTGAAAGACAATAACTTGATATACACTCGTGTAAACGATGTGGCACAAAGATTTATCGGAAATGAAGCATGTGTTTGTAATGCGCATTCAGTAATACTATAGAAAAATTTTATTAACGCATAAATAATCTGAAATAGCGTCTTGTTTTTTTTTCCTTTTTTTCAGTATGACTATTGTCTTTCACGCGATTGTTGTTTTATTCGATGCGATTCGTCAACTTTGTCCGTTTTTTAAAATGTCGAGTGGCAGTTTCACGCGAAAGATAAAAGGGGAATAGAAATATACACGCAATCGCGTCGACTTGCGCCAGTCGTGTTTAATTAATTTCCTCAGTAATAATAACGTAATGAATCTTTGCGTTATCGCTGCCGCGCTCTATCACGCTTCGTTCGCGTGTACCGAGTTATGTTTGAAGCCATTGCATTTACATAAAACATCTACGTAAATTAAGTCGTGTATTGTAATATATAATAATGCCTTTCTCGGAGCCAGATAATGGAAGTACGTACTACTCTCTTTTGTTTTGCGTATATTTAACGCGTTGTTATATAAGTCACCAATATAAAAATTAAAAGCCATGTAGTGTACAAAATGAATTTTGTAAAAATAAAATATTGTTTTTTATCAGTTTTCATTTTCGATGAATATAATGCGTGGAGAAAATTTTTATTTTAACGTTTTTCACACACAAACATAACTTAAAGGGAAACATTAAAAAATTCATAGCATAAGAGAATAGATTTTTCTCTAAAAGTGAATATAGTATTTATTAAACAGAATAATTATATTAATAAACTACGTTTTTAAAAATATTTAGAAATATTAATAATACATTTTTGCATCCTTGTCCTTTTCTTCTTCTCTTTTTGCTTTTGGGATAAACATATTCACGTGTAATACTTATAAGCATCAACTTTCCTTCTTTAATATTTGATAGAATATGAGAATATATATAGTGCTTAAAGTAACATTGACTAGACATTTATTTAAGAAGCACGAGCCTTTTACGATTGTCTACGCTAACATAAGAGATATACTATCGTTATATGTTGATGTATTGTTGTTTCTGCTTTAGATATATATAATACATTGATACACATACGTGCATAAATTATTTTGTTTGTATCATATGCACAATTCTCTTTGAATGATACGTCATATATACGACGCAAGTAAGAAATTTTGTTAGAAAATACTAACTGGCACAAAGTTATTATTGGCAATTAATCGATACAAATAAATCTAGCGAGATGTCGTTTGCAAGAGATTCTCGATTGTCAAGTATCCCTACAGATATTTGTCTATACGCGATTAAATCTTTCTAAATATTGATTCTTTATCTCTCTTTCTCTCTCTGTTCGATTTTATTCGCCTCGATCACAGACTTGATCTTTTCAATCCAATCGACTATCTGGATAATAGATCAAAGGCGTTATTGCATCCCATCCATCGATTTCCTCGTTCGACTGCGCCGCTCTTTTCTGGGCGTTTAACACCGTCGTGCTATGCCGAGGGCTGCTGGGCGCGGATCTACAAGTGATCTGAAGTATCCCGGGTGTGCCGAAGCGATAGCTCTTGGCTCCAGCTCGCAGAAGACACGACTCATTGCCAAAGATCAGGTTGGTTCGGAGCAACGGCACGTTCTTAATATCCGACGGCAGTTCGTGTTCCACCAGTTCCGGCTGAGCTTCCTGATCGCAGAGCTTTTCCACGCAGGGACAGGAGTTACTGGAGGATCTCCAGCTCTCCATGCAGGACGATCGTAACGCGCACGAAGCTTTCGTTTTACAAGGACTGTTGTCGATTATCGATTCCAGTTGGCTATTCACCCTGGAGCTCTTATGATCGAGTTGATCCGAGCTGGCGAATCGCAAACGTTTCGGCGACTCGCTGGAGCATCTTGTAAAAGTGGATCTGACGAGAGACTTGTTCTTCAAGGAACTTCGAGGAACTAAAGGATCGACCACGCTGATCTTCTTGCTATCGCCGTTTCGTTTGCTCGCTCTTGTTTTGCTACGCTTGTTGCGTAAAATCAGATCCTCACCGATTAGCCAATACGTAAGACGCTCGCCCTTGCCTTTTATAGAAATCACACCGCGCTCGACAAGAGTAAATCCCTTTAGCTCGTCCAGTAGTTGCTTCGTCTCGCTGCTGCAGTGAATTTTGAGGGCTACGAATTGTGAAAACATATATGATTTATATCAAAGAAACTCGCGACATGCAAATTACAGGTATTAATATTATAAAAATGTAACTTAAAATTATTCTCAATGAGTTACTCACGTAACCCCGTAGACTCCATGCGCGATGCTGTGTTTACTGTATCGCCGAATAGGCAATATCGTGGCATTTTCGATCCAACAACACCAGCGCATACTGGGCCTATGAAAATAATAATTATTATATTATCAGTATCACTGTGTGAAACGTCAGAAATTTTCATGTTTTTGTTGATTATCATTAGATTGTAATATAATTAGAATTATTTCATCATTATTTTTACTCGGATATCTTTTATGCTTACCGGAATGTATCCCTATCCGTAACTGTAGCTTGTCAAGTGGCCTGTGTCGAATGGTAAACTGTTTAATGGCATCCAAAAGACATAATGACATGCTTGCTATTTCAGAAGCATGTTCAATTCCGTTTCTTATCGGCAGGCCACTTACCTATGTAAGAAGACAAAACGCATGTAACATAAATGACGGAATTATTTGACAAATATTAATTTGCGATTTACTTATACGTAATTGCAGTACGGAGTTCTAAATAATTCTGTGAATATTTTTAATTTTGTAATATATATTTACCACCATGTAAGCATCTCCGATCGTTTCGACTTTGTAAACGTCATAATTTTCTATCGTTGAATCGAATGTTGTGTAGAGATCGTTCAAAAAGTTGACCACCTTTTTTACAAAAGGAAGATTGTACAATTATTTACGTGCAATTACAGAGTCGCTCTCTCTCTTTTTCAGTATATAAGAAAGAATATTATAAATTAAATTTATATTGTTATACTTATATAATATAACATGTTTATTATTACATAAAGTTCTCACTTGTAACGGTGTGCTTTCCGCAGACATGGACGTGAAACCGACTATATCACTAAAATATATCGTGACGCAATCAAAGCTTTCAGCTTCCACTTTATGTCCTTTTTTTAATTGTTCGGCTACAGAACGTGGGAGCATTTCGTATAATAGTGCGTCTAAAAGAAAATATAATAATTATTATAATTATGTTTGTAATTCACTTATCTATTTTTATCTATAAGAACAAAATCAATGTATATTACGTATAATATTTTCAAATAATGGAATTAAATACCATTAATTTTTTTTTAGGTGACTGACCTGTTTTCTTCTTCTCTTCGGTCAATTGATCAGTGCGTTCATCAACCAATGCTTCAAGATTATTCGCATATTTTTCCATCATCGCCATCATATTGTCGAAGATATTCGCTTTCCTGCAAAAACGTGAGTCATGTTTATTATAATTTGACTAACCAAATCACAATCAGAATTTAATTCAAACTATAAGAAACATTTTATTCTGCGAATTATATCCATCAACACAAAACATTATTTCATATATAATATTATGAAGAAAGACTGACATGCCCTTTCTCAATGGTCTTAATTTGTTCCGTATCATTTTAAAATCCAAACGTAATTCTGGATTTTCCGCCCAACATTCCAGCAAACAGTCACGGACAAAATCGAACGTGTTCTCCAGTTGATCCAATGGTGGTCTGATATTATTTCATACGCATTATTTCAAAAGCTTGCTCAAATAATTGTCAATTAAAAACATAAATTTTCCGACAGTTTAATAATTTACCTGAACGGCGTTCCCAAATCTCTGGCAATTATTTTCTTCAAAATTTCAGCTGCTGATAATTCCGTAATGCCAAACGGTCCATGTCTCCCTTGTATTTCGTATAATATTATACCAAATGAATAGACGTCACCTCTTTGAAAGTCCCGAATAGTCGGTTTTTCGAGGTAGCGAGTAGAGCGTAATAGTTCAGGTGCTTTGTATAACAATCCTTTGAAAATTGCATAACATAATATTAATTATATTATAATATAAAACTATACATCCTCGATCATAACAATAAACATTGATGAATTTGTTATATTTTTTCTGATGAAAACTAGAAGATCACAAATGGCATGAAAAATATTTGACAGATACATGAAAACTTTGAAAATCCGAAAATAATAGTATATAGTATATAAATTTTTCTCGCTTCTCTCTCTCTCTCCTCCCTTCTCTCTGTTTCTTTTCTCTTTCGTTCTCACCCTTACCGTGATATTTTTTTATGACGTCAGAAGGATCGTATTCCGCATCTCGCTTGAATTCGTGGAGACCGAAATCCGCCAGCTTTACGACCCATCGCGAATCCACTAAACAGTTAGATGTGCTCAAAGAACCATGATATTTTATGACCGACTCGTGAAGATAGATCATGCCCTAAAAGATAGCATTCAATTTACATCTCGGGAATAGTGGCATCTTGATGCGTAATTGAACATAAAAAAAACTGAAATTGAATATAAAGTTGAAACGCAAAAAGATAGTATCTTATTTATTATATTATATAGGAATGTTGCAAGCTATTGACTAGTAAAGCATTATCTTGTAATTAACATATATTGCACGTATATTCCTAAATTTTCTATAATATGTAAAGAGTTCATAATAAATGATACAATTAACAAAGAGAGATAATTCCTTATAAAAAAAGAAAAAAAGAGAAAAATAAGAAATATAGAATAAATTATTTTGATTAGTTACATATCTGAGAGAAAATTTTATTATTTTTATATATGTATATTTCTATATTCGGCTGCAGAATATCTTTTTAGAAAAGTCTTCTTAGAAAAAAATGATAGAACCGAAAATTGTAATTAAAATTTGACATCAAAATTAAATTGAAGGAAGAGGAATTTTTAAATATATCGATTATTGCAGAGCTATCAAAGTTTCGAACAACGTGCTCTTATTACGAAGTGCAAAAGTTTGCGAACTGACGCAATGTAGACAAGTTTGGAAATTGCCTTTTTCACATCACGAACATGCTAGTAATCTGATATTGCGTGAAAAGAATTTTATACGACTTTTTTAACAATGGAAAACGTATCGGACAAAGTTTAAAAATAAAAGTACAGAAACAAAATTGATGAAAACTTACTCTAATAATGTCACCAACCAGTGAAGCCACAAACATGTTATCGAGTTTAATATTTTCGTTCTCCAGTATATCCTGTAAAAAGCATTTCACTGCCGAGCATTTCGTCGGAAATTTGATATTACGAAAATTAGCATAATGCGGTAATATTTGGGAACATAAACGATAAGCATAATGATAATTACGTTAATTGCGAAAATTACCGACCTTGAGACTCCCACGTGCGCAATATTCGACGATGATGCATATATTAGGTGGATCGGTACATGCACCGATGAATGCATTGAGATTATCATGCCGTAAATCGCGCATCTAAAAATTTATCGTTTTAATAACGAATATAATTATTTTATTATAATTACTTAATAACAGTTATCGTACCGTAATTACAAATTAAATTAAAATTATTGGGTTAGTTAACGTTACCATTTTCAATTCTTTTTTCATTTCTCGCGTAATCTCAATCGATTTCTTCCTGACTTTCTTAACAGCAAAAATACGTCCTTTAAACACTCCAATTTGTGTGTAAATCATGGAATATCGGAAGTCAGCATCGGGATTTGAACTTAGCGATACTTGACTAGTTCGTACTATAGGTTGCGTTGTCGGTGGCTTTGACGAGAAGAAAATATTAATATAATCATAATGTATATTTATGGTTATTTTATGTAATTGTGATTCTGAATATTTTTTGTAACAAAAATATATTCTGCAGATTTAGGAAAAATCTACAACGATTTATCAAAATGTTGAAGCTAAAAACTCGAATAATACTTGTGAGTGAGATAAATCACGATTCGTGAGATATATCACGAATGTGATTTCGATTATTATGCAATCAATGACACGAAAAAACAAATCGGAAACAAAAATTTCTTCGAGAATAGCGGTATTAGAGCGACAGCAACATTAAAACAGATAATTACCTTGGAATTGCATTTGACAGACGTCTCGTTGGCTCCAACCGTTTCGTCCTTCTGCTCCTTGATCTGGATGTCTTTGTAATTTACTTTCCAAAGCAAACTATCTAATGCTTGCTCATACTTCCAGTTTCTATAAAGAATCAGAACGACTGCTGCGATAATGAGCAGCAATGCACCGGCTATACCTCCCACAATTTCACCGGTGTAAGCTGCAATATTCACTCAATATTATTACGAAGAATTTTTATATAGGTACATACTTTAGAGGAAATATAAAATTCAAATATATTTAATTTCTGTTTTCAAAATATGTGTATCATATATATTTTTATAAAAAAGAATCAAACATATTAATATATGTTAATTTTCGTGGCAAAAGAAGACCGTGACAAAGTTATGTACTTATAAAGATATTGATAAAGAAATAATTAAATAGGAGGAAGCATATTTGCATGCAATTAGTTAAATATAAAGATTTATATATATTTTACCTACAATTACATTTTTCACCGTGGTATCCGCAATAAGGTTCTGCAACTGGTGGTCCTTTATCTCCAAAAAGCCATGATATTTCTTTTGTTAAGCGAAGTGTCTAAAGATGAGAAGAATTATTTTTATTATATTATTTATATTATATTTTTATTAACTTTTATTTACAATAGCTATAATTATTTATCAATGCAGTTCTAGAATTTATAAGAAAGATAAATAATTAAATATTTTAGTCTAATTCTATGCATGCATTATTCTTCTTTCTGATTTCAAGTCGTAAAGTGACAATTAGTTGTTTTAAAGAATTAGTATTAAAGAAAAGTATTTTTTTTTCTCTTAGAAAGATTGTAATAGTATAAGACTTTAAATGTTTAATAATATTAAATTTGTAGCACATCTGTCGATACATAATATTATATTATAACTAATATTCTCTTAGTAATATTTCTTTGTTTTGAAGATAAAAATAATGTTTTGGCAAGAAAAATAATTTTCTTACTGGTAAATTTGTGTCTTGCTCTTTTCCAACGAAATAGCCTATTGGATAAAGTCCATAACCTCTTGTAGATCGATCATCTAATGCAATTAGCGTGTAATTTCCCTCAGCATCTCCATTCTGATCCATATACACCATATAGCTAGAATTGATTATGCGTATAATGTGCGAATTCCATTATGCTCACTTAAGCTCATGTCAGTTCGGTCCATTAGATAGATAGAATGGTTGAATTACAAGACGATTCTAATACGCGTATTTACAATATTTTATTGCAATCGAGGAAATTTTACACGATTATATTACTTATAAAAAATTAAAAAGTGATTAAAATAGAAAATACATGCTAAAATATATATATATATATATATATATATATATATATATATATATATATAAATGTG